ACATAGTTTGCTATTACTTGTAAGAACACGTTTAAAGTTGTTTATTTTCCAGACGATCTTCAGTTAAATTATAGTATTTTATAGATTTTATATTAATTTATATGAAATAGGGCAAAAGAGAAAGAACCTTCATTAGAAGGTTCCATATTCCTAAGGCCACTTCTACATTAATAATTAAACACTAAAACAAACGTTTCACTTTTGTTACGTTTCGAACTTTAAAAGCACTGTCCCCCCGTACAAATTAGCTAAAAATACGGCTAGTAGTGATATTAAATAAGAAAATAGCCCAAGAAAGCTTTACAGACACTTTTGATCTAGTTATATTATGGGAAGCCACAATTATCAGAATTAATCTGAGTATAAGTATTAGGAAATCACAATGCATTTACTACAATAAATTTGGGAAGAGATCGCATACACTGCTGATAGTGCTATCTACCGAGGAAAGGAATTAAAAACGAGCAAATTAAATCTATAATAATGTAAAACTTATGATGCCATAGTCCTGTTGCGAAAATACAAAATCATCATAATTAATTTCTCTATCACTATTAAAAAATTACAATGTTAAAGTAGGGAAGAATTTTTATTAATGAGATTGTGGATACGAGTAAGTTATAATGAAACATTTCTATTGTAGGATTAGATTACCTTTGGCCTGGTGATGACCTTTGACGTTTGGTTGCCGCATTGAGCCTGGAAATCTCTTTCGCTGAAAATGTTTAAGAAAATAACCACTATCGGAAGAAGAGCATCCCTCAAAAAAATATTGATATTAGAAGAGAAAACTGAACTGTGTTAGATAATGTAAAGTAGTCCTAACGAGAGCTAAGCCTTTTTAGTTTCTGATGCACGCGGTGTTACATTCGCGTGGCACGAATACCACTGTGGCACTGTCTCAACAATTTTTTTTTTTTTCAGTAAACGTAGCTGTAAGTTGATTTTACTTCTATTGTAAATATGTGGGATTTTCTCAACAGTGAGTAGCTAATGTTTAAAGGGTTATATTTAATACTCTGTAAATATGTTCGCGTTTATAAAGCTGTACATGTATATAAATGTGTGTTCTGTCCAAAATAAGTAATAGCTCTTCAAACAAACAAGCAAAAAATTCATTGACAAACTTTGCATAATTTAACAATGAAGAACTTCAGAACAGTTGAGGAATTATCTTTTATTGACTAACTTTGCATTACATATTATCCTCCATAACTATACATTAGTAATTAATAATATTTTGATTATTACTATGTGCACTCATAAGGAACCCTCATTACACTCTCCCAGAATAAGCACTTAATAGGACCTAGCCCGTCCTTTTGTGACGTCATCGTTAAATATCTTTGTACACTAAACATGTGCAGCAAAAGAGGGCGTATTATTACACCTGAAATGGAAACAATAGCTTCTCAGCTGGGTCACCTATGATATATATATATATATATATATACGTGTATGTGTGTATATAATAAATATTTTCTAAATCTATGAAATACAATAATAGCATTTTCTCTATGTTAAACAACACAAAGTTTGAAATGTTACCTATGACAGAATGATGTCCTGTACAAAATAAAAACTTGTATTTGAGGACCGTACGACTAGTGTCACATTTATTCACCAAATTTTTTATATGAGAGTTCACCAAACAATATATATTTATATATATACTCAAAACTTACTGATGGTGACTTTTAGGCTTAGGCTAAATTTACGTGTCTCAAGAGATCAGTGTATAAAAAATAAACAAAGAAAACCAACAATACTGGGCTAGAACTCAAATAGTAAATCGCAAATACAAGTGATCAGTAACATAACTCGACTGTACGTCAAACTTCTAATAACACGAACAATCATCAAATCCACATAAATTATAGTCAAAATAATATCTACTTTGATTACAGAAACAAAAATAACAACAAGAATACTAATATGCGTCGCTCTGTTTATTATTTAAAAAAATACTATTATTTTGACCCAAGCGCCATCTTCCGAAATTATATGAAACTATTTTCAGGTTAAGAACACGTTTAAATAATTCATATTGTGATTTTAAGTCTTCAGTGAAGTCCACTCAAATTATTCATACCAGCTAAAATTACGGATTTATTTTAATTGTTCAGTACATTAGTTAGTTTTAAATTCTGAAAACAGTTATGCTAAAATACTGTATCTAAAAATTATAACAAATAAATGTTAGTTGCCATTTTATATTGTTCTGCTACTTCTATGAAACCTGAAAATATAAAAAATATGAAACTTTCAAAACTCAGAAGCTAGAAATCATAAAAACGGTCACCACAACAGGAAAATGGCAGTTACTACACTTGTAAACAACAAGGTGTGAGCTTCTGTAAACAGTTATTGACGACTAGTAACTAGATCAGCATATTCACCACGAACTAATGTTTATATAACCTATGAGAACATGGTAAACAAATATATCATGACTATGGCAGGATAAGTATCAATGACTTCACTGACCAATCTCCAGTTGCTTCTCTGAAGCTGTACGGTTATTATTACGACTGAATGTCCAAACTTAACTGTGATTTTAATGTTTTTAAATAGTGTATATATTCTGCAAAATTAAACTTCCGGAACACCTTTGACGTCAGGTCCTCCAAGCTAATAACGCAGTTTCCGAGCTAAAGGAACACCTTTGACGTGAGGTTCTCCAAGCCATTAACACAGTTTCAGAGCTAAAGGAACACCTTTGACGTCAGGTCCTCCAAGCCAATAACACAGTTTCAGAGCTAAAGGAACACCTTTGACGTCAGGTCCTCCAAGCCAATAACACAGTTTCAGAGCTAAAGGAACACCTTTGACGTCAGGTCCTCCAAGCCAATAACACAGTTTTAGAGCTAAATTTTAATACCTTTAATTATATATATATTGTTAGTCTCTAGCCTATTCTATTCCTACGATCTATATAAATGAATCATGTATATGTGAAGTTTTATTATATAGTGCACGTCTACTGAAGTAAAGGAAGTAAAAAAAATCATATATTTATAACTGATGCTCTTACACAGATGAAGGTGATACCAAAGGAAAAAACAATTATGAACAAATCGTAATGTCCACACTCAACGAAATCAACACATAAATATTACCTCATATAAACCATAACGTTGGCAACTTAAGAATAAAGATTTATATTTTACAGTGAAATTATATAGATATAATAAAATAGTGCCTGCGTTTTTATCTATACATAGAAGTACGAGTAGATTAAAACCTTAATAAGAACCTGTTATTCGAAAGTGTAATAGCGTAACTAGAAAGGAAACATTCGGTTAAATGACTAATGTAACTGTATTTAACTCTCCTATCATCAACTAACCTACATGCTTTCTAATAAACCTGATTAATTTTATCTAAATAAATACACGAAAAAAATAAAAGTCAAAAACTCCACACTTTTGGAGTTCTAAAAAAGGACTCGTGGCCTTTGTTATAAGATCTGTCTGACTATGGTCGTATGGAGGAAGCAGTATACAGAGCTATATCCCCCTTGGCTAACAAGGGGAACGAAAGAGAGATAGAGAGAACAGCGGCAATGGTCTATTGGGGGACATCTCTTCAATAATATGTCTCGTATTCCATCCAGCCACCAGGACTTCTTCGTAGAATAAAGCGGCGGATTTCATCATAAATGAAGATCAGTAATGAGAAGGGAATTCCAGGAAGCCACCAGTTAATTCTGGATAAAATAGAAACACATTTAATGGGCAATGAATACTTGTTGGACACTATTAAAGAGTAATGAATACTTGTTGGACACTATTAAAGAGTAATGAATACTTGTTGGACACTATTAACGAGTAATGAATACTTGTTGGACACTATTAAAGAGTAATGAATACTTGTTGGACACTATTAACAAGTAATGAATACTTGTTGGACACTATTAAAGAGTAATGAATACTTGTTGGACACTATTAACGAGTAATGAATACTTGTTGGACACTATTAAAGAGTAATGAATATTTGTTGGACACTATTAAAGAGTAATGAATACTTGTTGGACACTATTAAAGAGTAATGAATACTTGTTGGACACTATTAAACAGTAATGAATACTTGTTGGACACTATTAAACAGTAATGAATACTTGTTGGACACTATTAAACAGTAATGAATACTTGTTGGACACTAATAATAACGATTGAATAAATATTATACACAATAATAAGTAATGAACAATTGTTGGACACAAAAAAATAACAAATTAATGTTTATTGGCCACTATAAATAAGGAACGGATAAATGTTGTACAATATAAGTAAGGAAAGAATACTTGTTACACACGATTACTGAGTAATGATTACTTGGTGTACGCAATAAATAAGGAACGGATAAATGTTGTACACTATATATAAGGGGTGGATACTTGTGGGTCACTATAAATAAGGAAAGCATACTTGCTTCACACTACTACTGAGCAATGAATACTTGTTACATACTATAAATAAGGCATGAATACGTTTTGTACATAATAAGTAAAGAACGAATATTTATACACTATAAAAAAACGTCACATAAAATACCCACCAGTATATAGCCACGCCTTGCAATGAAAAGGTTTTTGTTTTGTTTTTAGTGTATATACAGTTAGTATTTAAACTTTTGAAATTGTATGATTTCCAACTCAAAAATTCATAATTCTATGAGACAAGCGTTGTTCATTGGCGGTTAGTTTTTAGTGTTCAGACCTATCCTAAATCAGCTGATATGTGAGTTATTATTGGCTGAAAATACCGTTAGTAAAAATTTAAGACATTATGTAACCTGTTTACTGTTGGATTTTATTCGTTTTGATTTTAACTAACCCAACTTATTTTTTAAAAATTTTACACAACATTACAAACTTTTCAAAATTTCAAATAATAATGCTAGCCTTAATTTTTTTTTTAATTACAACTGATAATATTAACCATACAAATATTTACATAATTATTACACACTTACTACCAGTACTATTCGTTAGTGTTTGCGGCATAACATTTTATTTTATTTCTATGCCTCTGCGTGATTGGCCTGAAGGTTAATAAAATGTATTAATTGGTGTAACAAGTGTAAAGTGTATGCCCTTGTTCATTTTTAAGGTTGTAATTTCAGTTAATTATGCATAAAGGGGGAGTATGGGTGCTGTAGTACGTGGAAGTAGAAGGGCATTCGAAAGGTAAGTCATTTGATTTATTTTGCATTTGCAAGTCTCGGAATAACATTCATTTTACTTAGTATGATATTCATAATATTTACAGGTTATTTTAAATATATCTAAATTTAAACCTTGAGTTCTCAATGGAGTAAGAATATCCACCTTTAATAAGTTTACAGATGCCAACGGGTACCATCTTTAAAATATGTACTAAAACCTTGATCAAATCCTCACCCAAACACATTCAAAAATCACTTTCAATGGTCTTTAAATCAAGAGTGATCCCTTATATGTTTGGTTGAGATCCCAAAGAAATCCGTTGCTAGGAGATTTGATGTTAGGTCGAGCCACTACTAGCAAATCTCTGTTGATCCGGGTTTCTCTTTCACTGGGGTAACCTCCTAATGATGACAGTAGTAGTGGCTCGACCTAACATGCAAATCTCTGTTGATCCGGGTTTCTCTTTCACTGGGGTAACCTCCTAATGATGACAGATGTTAGGTCGAGCCACTACTACTGTCATCATTAGGAGGTTACCCCAATGAAAGAGAAACCCGGATCAACACTGTTGAATTTGCAACTAACAAATGGAAAGACTTCGAAACTAGTCATATCGCCTAGAAGATACCTAAAATAGTGTTCACTCGTCCATTCTTCCTGACAAAATGCTCAGATTAGGCATTAGTGTAACATGTGTAAGATGAGCCACAGTTGCACTAAGTACCACAAGATGAACCATGGAACACGTAAACTGGAAATCAGAGAGGATCACTATCAACTTTGGCTGCCTCGAGGCTCACCACTCTCACCAGTTCTACTCATCATACACACTGCCTTGTCAGTTCAACGGTATGTAACATTCTGGTGTACAACAAAGGTGCTAGCAAAGCTGTAATCAAATGTAAGGTGCAACTATCCCTTAGCAGGTGGGAAAATGTTGTAATGGCAGGGGAATGATAATCAATTTTTCCAAAACCTACAGCAACGTTTTGTACAATCAACAGTAAGATAGTTTATGGTGGAGACTCTATACAACAAAGGTGCTAGCAAAGCTGTCATCAAATGCAAGGTGCAACTATCCCTTAGCAGGTGGGAAAATGTTGTAATGGCAGGGGAATGATAATCAAACTCGGATATACATGTATATGCTGCACCATGAGTTTGTTGTAACGATAATATGTGTAAATTAAAATGCATATAAGTTGTATTGGAATACATGTGAATGTGATACGAAAAAATGTGTACAATTGGTTTTGAAATCTGAGTGTAAGTTGTGTAATGGGCACTATAAGAGGGACGGTTACTCGTTACAAATTACATTTAGTTAAAAATACCAGGAATGCAATCAATGGCGTTTGCACTCGGATCACCAACTTGACGAGATTTACGTGAAGATGAGAAAGGAGCTTTTTAAATAATAATAATAATAAAAAAACACGCGAAATTTATTAACACTAATAAGAGCATTACATTATTCAAAAATTATGTCATCAACAATATTTCAAGCTCTTACTTAAAACCAGAACAAAACTATACTTACTGGAAAGCTGAGACTTTCATGAGTAGAGCAGAGGGCATGACTGGCTGGTGGCTCGTCTCTGATGCAGACTGGTATCTGGTAGAGTTTCCACCATAAACTATCTTACTGTTGATTGTATAAAACGTTGTTGTAGGTTTTGGAAAAAACAACGTTCTATAAAACTTGTGTATAATTTCTGATTCATGTCATAAGGACACATTGTGGTACAACAAGCTTTCTGGTTAATCTCATCAATGTATTCCGTTACAACTCATACAGATTTTGTGGCACAAAATACACGCGCACTCCAGCACAACAAGCATAATTATTTGCATTACCAAAGTGTTCTGGTACAACTTGCACATTTTTTTCAAGTTCGCTGACATTATTGAACAGAGTGATACGTCACATTTGAGTGACATTTCAGATGGTTCAATAACAGTGGAGAGACAAAGTAAAAAACAACAAAAACAAAAACGAGAGATATGCAAAACTGGAATAACAATGATACTTACTTTAATGGATACATACGAATACCTTTGTCCATTCCAGGACAGTAGGACAAAAAGGCTGCTAATGCTGTCTCAAACACTAGACCAAAGTTCAACACGTGATTCCTGTGAAGATGTGAGCAATAATTTTATATATATCAAAATTAGATAAAAAAAACAAAACACCAACAACAACTTTAAACTGTATTTACTGGAGACATTTTGTGTCTGTACAGAATATCGATGAAAGAAATACATTAACAGCTTGGGTATCAACGATACATTTTCGTAAATCTGATATAAACTAATAAGTACACATAAAGATTTTTGTTTGTTAAAACTGGCATAACCTGTTAAAACTGATATAAATTAGTAAGTATAAATAAAGTTTTGCCCTTTAAAACTGATATAAATTAGTAAGTATAAATAAAGCTTTCCCCTTTAAAACTAATATAAATTAGTAAGTATAAATAAAGTTTTTCCCCTTAAAACTGATATAAATTAGTAAGTATAAATAAAGTTTTTCCCTTAAAACTGATG